CACACGGGGACCGTGCTCCTCCATCAGCACCYGGGGATGTCAGGCGAGACAGCCCCTAAAGTGGCGCCCCAGTCAATACCGGAGACGTGCCCCGCTTCTCCCTCAGCCACAAGGCTTGTTACGCTGTCACGGGGAGGAAATTAGATTAGTCTGACACAATTTATTCTTGACACCTCTAGGCTGGCTGTTGCACCGCTTCTTGTTATCTTCTAGGCGATCACACATACGCACACACACTTAAAAAAAACCCATTCCCCTTGATTATCCGCTCCAGAATCTGTCTTGGGATTGAAGCGGAGCGGTCAGGGGTTTCTAAAGGCCAGGTATCCTCCGTTTCTAAACACTATATTCGCCCTTTTGCAGCGGCCTGGAGCCTGGTCTCCAGGATAACCGGTGGCCACGGACTTGCTCAAGCAAGATGGTACCTGCGAGGTGGTAAATATGGGAACAAGATTGAGAGGCGGAAAAGAGCCCGGGGTGAAAAGAGGCCGAAATGGTGCACGGCAGCGGCATCTCCACATTGCCGGCATGGCCTCGCAGGAGAGACGATCTGCTTCCCCCCGCAATCATTCCATGGGAAGCCCTGGATGATGCACTTTAATTAAGTCCGAGCATCCCTCCCACAGGAGCCGGGGAGGAGAGGGGACCAGCGGGGTAATTACCATGCAGCTAGSAATATTAAATAAAACTGGCCCTCCCCGCAGTTACAACCCCCCCAAAAAGAGCCGAACTAATTGATTTAATGCCAAGGAGCACGGAAGCAGCACGGGGAGGGTGCCGGAAAGCGGGACCCGATGTGACGTGAATGCTAACGGTGCCCCATGGAGCTCGGTGTCTCCTTGGGAATGGAGGTTTTTCCCTCCACCTGCATCCCTGGCGCTCCRGGAAGGGCCTTTAAATCTCGCCCTTAACCGTGTTAATTGAATTAAATGCAACAACACCGAGAAGTGGCCTCCTCGTTCAAGGGGCAAAGGCGGAGGCTCCCTGCTCCGCTAGCGGCTCCCTTCCTCCTTCTGCAGTGAGGCCTTGCTTCTTTATGCTCTTTGGAAAGGGTTGTGCTCTTTAGACAGGAAAAATAGGGGGAAAAAAAACCCCATCTGATAAAGTGGGTTATAAAGGCGGTGCTGGTAATAACCGGAGAGCGGCRAGGCCGGTGCGGAGGCAGCAGAAAGTGCTGCAGGGAGGCGATATCCGAGTGGGATTAACCCATGGAGCGGGGAACGGCGCTGGATGTCACCCTGTAATGGCCCAAAAGGAGCAAGGCTGTCCCCAAAACATGGGGCAAAACCCCTCGGACATCACTCGCTTCCCATTAAAACGGGAAATAAAGTGTCGCCAAAACCATCCATCCCGAGCAGGACGCGTCAGAGGGAGCCACCCCGGCAGCATAACACATTTCTTTCCATCAGCCTCCATTATTATCCCATTAAAGCTCACAGAATAAAGGGTCAAGTGCCCAGGATTCCCTCCCTGCCCCTCGGGTGGGAAAGGAGCATTCCCTGTGGAATTCCAGGCAGGTTTCCCCCGGCACACGGCGTCGGTTCCCTTTTTTACGAGCCTTCATTGTTATTACCACCTATTCCTTTTTACATTCCTGCCAAAATACCAAACATTAATCTCCCTCGCTCCCCGCAGGCAAAACATGGGTAATTGGATTTATATGGGTTAGAAATTTGTTAGATTTTTTCCCCCCCCTTTTCCTTTTCTTATAAATAGATATACGCACGAACACACAGCAAAATAAATAAATAAGGGAGCGGGTCCCAGCACAGTGGCTGGAACCAAAACCCCGTCAGTCTCAGGTATCCTCCAGTCCTGTTGCCAACTGGCTGGGCTGATAATCACTGATTTAAGAACTTGTACCCAAACTTCCCCAGTTTCCCATTACATTCCCCCAGGAATGGAGGTATCTTGGAGGGCTGGTCTTGCCTCTTTTCCATTTTTGCTCCCTTTCCCTTCCCTGCTCCTGCTGTTTCCTCCTTCCCTTCCCAGCTCCTTCTCTTCGAGACCCATCTGATCATGGGCAAAACAACCAATTCRGACCCGATCTGGGAAAACGGTGGCAGGAAAACAGGAGCTGGGGATGCGGAGCATCCGGACCAGCATTGGTCCGGACATTGGCATTCCGGACCCRGCCGTGAAGGGCTCTGCCTCTCAACGAGCACAAGACTTAACACATCCCAGCAAACCTGCGATAAACAACCCATTATCGGCCTTTCTCAGAGCCCTTTTTTTTTTAAATTAATAAAAGAAGAGGTTAACAGAGACCGTCCTAGCCCTCGGTGCCCGTTTGCGAAGGAGGAAAAAGAAGCGACAGCCACGGAATCAGATATTCCTTATGAGCTGTCTGCTTGCTGGCACTATCTACAGATTATCGCTTAAAACAATATGTCCAGCTGTTGTGGGAAGCATCCATGTTTTGGGCTTGCAGGGAAAGAAAAAGAAGTGGAGAAATGGCAGGGGAAACAGCTGGGAGAGCAGCCAAGGCGATGGGGAAACGTGGGGAAAAGGGGCTGGAAGAGCATCCTTATCCCACAGACAGGCAGCAATAGCTGGATGCAATGCGGGGGGATCTACGCGGCTTGCAAGAAGTGCTCCCATCCTTGTGCAGTGCAGTGCAGGGGCGCCTGGGCTCCCCCAATTAGCAGGCCCGTTAATTACGGCCATCAAGAGCAGGGAAGACAAGTTAAATAGCAGCTACCTCGGGAGAAATGACTGCGCCAGCCGGGAGGAGCCAAATGCCAGGATCCGGGGCTGCAATTTCCCCGCGTCGCCAATTAGGGCTCCCGCACGCTTCACCTTGGAAACGGCAGGTATATATTTAGCTCTGGAAAACTTTATTTTTGGGGGGGRAAAACAGAACAAGGTTTGGAGGAGCCGTGCTTTGCTAATCCCAAAAATGTAAGCATCGGCACCCAAAAAAACATGGCAGCCTCTTCCTGCTTCCCAAGGATTTTCCCTCCAAATGGACGTACGGAATAATAGAGGAAACGGTGGAAAAAAATCCTCTCTTTTCTTGTCTCTCCAGACCCGCGTCCAACTGCTATCTCACTGAGGCCTCATCACGTGCTGGGGTATGGACTGCAGCAGATTACTATTAAAAAAAAGCAGCATTGTCAGAAATAATTAAACCTATAATTGCAAAAATAAATGGAGAAGCTTCATCTCGCCATGTTTTACTCTGCCTTTCTCTTTTTAATTGGAATTGTTCTCGTCCTCGCTAATTGAACAAAATTCAGCRAGTCGCCGAGTCCTCTGTGCAAATTAGTGCGAGGCCCGTGGACTTTTGGTCTTTTTTATAGGGAAACAACAGGATGGGCTGAGGTTTGGTGAGGGATGAAGGGGGAATGAGGTAGCTTGAAAATATGTTTTTAAATACGGGGGGAAACGGTGCATCTGCATTGCTAAGCTTTGCAAAACCAAGCCTGCGTCTGCCGCTTCTTGCGCAAAATCCTCGCCCCTTACGCCTGTCTCACGCCGGCTCCCGCTCCTTGTGCTAAAAAAAAATTGCCGATATTCCTTAAATACAGATAACACCATAAAGGCTGCAAATTCGGAGCAGCTGTTGGTTTATGGCTTTATGAACTGTACTGCTGCCTGCTGTAAAAGGGTGCGCTGCTCGCGGCGCAATCTGCTCGCCTGCGCATCCCTCTCCCCGCGACGCTCCGGGATTTGCCGCAGCCCTTGGACGCTTCCATCGAAACTAAACACATATTTTGGATAAAACAGCAAGGGAGGTCGATTCTCGCCCCAATAGGGACCTATTGGGTCTCYGGCATCCCGGGCTGGCACGCAGCAGCTCTGCGCGCATCCAAGTGCATGGAAAGCTCCAAAAGGAGCAGCTTAAGTCCCGTTTCCCGACCAAATCCCAGCTGGGAAATAAAACTGTGAGCTTTTCCAGGCTCCCTTTGGGTGCCCAAGGTGAGGGTGCTGCTGTCTGTGTCCCATGCGGTGCAATATTGGGTTCTGCCGCTTCGCTGCAGCAGGGCTCAGCCTCCGAGCCTGGTGTTATTTTTAAGAGTAGACGCAAGGATTTGCAAAACACCTCGAGCTCCTGGGAGCGGAAAGGTGCAGAGCTACCAAAAYCCCCATGAATTCTCCGCAATTGCTAAATAAAACACGGGGATCTGCTGTCCCAGGCGGCCTGGAAGTTGCCTGCGGACGGAGCCGTGCTTCCCRCAGGGATGGCACGGAGGCTCCCTAGGGAGAAGGGAGGCGGCGGCGCACGTGCGGATGCGCCACGGCCGGGCGGTGCGGAGGGACTYGGAGGGGAAGGTGAGAGGCTCCAATGCTGCCCCCGCTACAGGGCCGACTGCTCCGCAAACATCTCCCAGGAAAAAGAGGCCAAAAGCTCCAAAAAAAACATATCCAAGTCAGCCCTCTGCTGGTGCAGCCCTGGCAAGGAGCACAGGCTTCTGCTCGAGTCCATCCCTACGCATCACCGGGGCAGAAACGCAAAAATATATATGTATATATATGTCTCAGCACTAGCTGGGCATGATCTGCTGCTGTATTTTATGGGAGCATCCCGAAAGGCACCGACGCATCGTGGATCCACCTGTAACACGCTCGGAAAATGATGCTCCCATGCACCGGGGGATGCTCTGACGGATGGGGGGATGCTCTGATGGACCAAGGGATGCTCTGATGGACCGGGGGATGCTCTGAAGGACCAGGGGATGCTCTGATGGACCGGAGGATGCGCTGACAGACCGGGGGATGCTTTGATGGACCAGAGGATGCTCCCACGGACCAGGGATTGCTGCACCGGAGCGCATCCCTCCTCCCCGGCACATCCCGCCCCGGCACGCGGCGCGAGGCCGAGCATCCATCAGGCTGCGCGAGCCGCTTCCCGGGAGGCAAGCGATTGATCCGGCCCCGGCGGCTCCGTGCGGGGACTGCCGAGCAGCGGCGGGAAGGCGCCGCGGGCTCCGCGGGACAACTCGGCTCCGGCGCCCGCGCGTCCCGGCCCGCAGCCGCGCGTCCCRCGGGGCTCCTACCTGAGCGTGGCGCTCTCCCCTTGCCGCACCGTCACGTTGTCCATGGCTTTGGGGAAGGCGGCATCTCCGCTGCGCACGGGCACTCCTGCGGGCACAAGGAAGAGGAGCCTGAGCGCCAGGGCGAGCAGGCGGCGGGCGGGCAGCGGCGGGCGCCCRCCGGGCCCCATGGCGCTCGGCGCAGCCCCCCGGCGCTCAGCGCGGCCCCCGCATCCGGAGCGGCCGCACCGACACGGCGACGAGGAGGAGGAGGAGGAGGAGGAAGAGGAGGAGGGAGGAGGAGGAGCGGGAGATGAAGGTCACGGCGCGCTGCCTGCTCCCGACGCTGCCGGAGGACGCGGCTGGGCACGCGCCGTGGCGGAGCTCCCGCAGCAAAAGTTTATAGCCCACGGAGGAAGCCGTAAGTGGCGCCCGCAGGAAGGGGAGGGCAGCCGGGAAAAGGAGCCGGCGGGGCTGCCCGCTTCCCGCCCTATATATGGAGACTTATGGCTATAGGTGTCTAAAAGAGCAGGGGAAAGGATGGCCAGGCAAAAGAGCAATCCCGCTGCCGGAGGGCCGCTTCCCTGCGGAGCATCCCCGGCGGGATACAGGGGGACAAGGATGCGGCCCCGGCATCGCAGGGTTGTCATGGCAGCGGCTCCATGCCGCATCCCGCACATCCCGACGCACATGCAGCGGGGGGAACCAGGGCTGCGAGTGGCACCGTCGGGAAGCAGAAATTGCCCCTTGGGACCACGGAGAGGGACAACCTGCTCTGGCCAAAATCCCCGGCTTCCCATCCCACTGACCGCACCGGGACACCGAGCTCCGGGTCTAGGGTGCCCTGGGTGGGCACAAAGAGCAAAGAGAGGGGGGAAAAAGAGCCTCGTGCCTCGGAAGCGCCTCGGCGGGTATATATAGAGCGTCTGCACCCGGGGCTATAGGATTTTTAACTAATGTCTGTCTGCGCCGCTGTCTCCTCCTCCCTCTCCTCCCACCTGCTTTCTCTCCCTCCTTCCCTCCATCTGTCCCTACCCCTTTCCTTCTGACCACCTTTCCTCTTGCACACTTGCAGCTGCTGWTTTTCCCCGGCGTGTTTGGGAATCGCTCCCAGCACCTCTTCCCCCGCATCCCGCCCCGCTCTTCCCAGCTGTGCCGCAAACCCACCCCAATAGCTTTTATCCCCAAATGGAACGTCCCCAAGTGCCACGGGAGCCGCTTGCCCCTTCCCAGCCCTGTCCAGAGCTCCAAAATCCTCCGTTTCCCCCCAAAATCAAACCGCGGGTCTCTCTCAGCAAGGGAAATAGGAGCGGGACACGCCGACACCACGCAGCCATATTCAAGCACAGAACGAGGCTTCCTCTAGTTGCTAATTCCAGTCCGAGCACCTCTTGGAATAGGTTTATGGAGGTTTTATTTATCGCCGACGCCTCGATGATAAAACGAGGCCACTGCGAGGCCTTTTTGTCCTTTCCTTTTTCCCTTTTTTCTCCCCTTTGCAGGAAGGAGAGGGGCTGGGATGGGAAACAAATGAAGGGCTCGCGCGCTGACCCTGGGCCTCCACTGCGTTGCAGACTGCGGGGTGATTATTTTATAATAGCCGATAGCATCTGTGATTTAATGCAGCTGCTGGAAATTAGCAAGGACTCCACCGAAAGCGTCCCAGTCACTCACGATAACAGGCTAATAAATCATTCCCCCGGTGCTCCGTGGCATTTATGGTTCTATTTTAGAGATGCAAAGCCTAGACGCGGCGCCTCGCCTCGATTTGTTTTTATTTATACTTTTAATAATGCAATTAAATAAATAAATTTAGCGTGTGGCAGCCCGGTTGCCAAAAACGGCACCGACGAGAGCTCCCCCTGCATGACTTCCCTTCGTTATTTTTTTCCCYGCTAGCCAATTAAAGGGAAAACAAATGGCTCCGAGATGCTGCTTTAAGCACAAGGGCGAAATTCCTGCAGCACTAAAACCTCAGGGATGCAGGAAGGGGGAAGAGGGATGCAGGCTGGGGTGCTTTGATTCCTTTTGTTGTATTTCCCCCCATCCCATCCCATCCCATCCCATCCCATCCCATCCCATCCCATCCCATCCCATCCATCCCAGCACCCTGGTACCCATCCCAAGGTCAGCTGCATCTCGGGTTGCAAAACAAGCAAAAGGCCCCGTCGCCTCCCCTCCACGCCGGAACATTTCCAATTAACAACTGCGGGAGCTAATTTATTGCATAGCCATGCACTAAACTCCGGTGTGGGGGAATTTGGAAGGACCAGCACCCAATGAGGACGGTACAAACGCCACGGGAGCCGCGTCGCGTGTCTGCCGGCTCCGCTGAGAACGCTCCCAGCATTTTCCTCACATCCTCACTTTTAACTAGAGTTACAGTCGGAAAAATTACTCTGCATACTCTGCCACCCCAGAGGACTCATATTCCTTCGCCTGAGCTGACAGTTCCCGACCAGATCTGCCTAATGTACAAGTTGGGAGATAGGGCGGCTCATCCCACCCCCTAAAACTGCCAGCCCTGCAAATTCCTCGGGAATCCGAGCGCTCATCCCTCTCCTCCTGCTCCAGCGAGGATACACGGAGCAGGAGAGCTTTCCTTACCATTATTACACTACATTATTATGCAAAGCACTTTCCTTACTATTATTTTTATGACCATTGCAGGCATAATGGGTCAAAAAACRCAGGAAGGCAACAGGTATCGGAGGCGGTTTGCCGAAAATCTCCACATTATTCCCCAAGACCACCAGCACGCGGGAGACTAAACTGCTAAATTATTCCAGGCCTTAAGGGCCTGCTGAGGTGCAGATCRTCTTGTTGATGGGGAAGGCAGAAGTGGGAAGCAAGAAATGACCCTATAATGGGCCTCAATCCAGCCTCCCTTCTCCGATACCACCTTTGGAGAGCTAGAAATCCGCCTCCGAATCCCTCAGGCTATTCCACGATCACTGCCTGAGGCAAGCTCTTCCTTTGCAGCTAGGCAGGGCTCTTTTGCAGTCGCATATTTAGTTTATTACTATTATTTTTAACCGTAGAGCCGTTTTATTAATATTAATAAACCCGCAGAAAGCACTAATTTCCCACATCGTTTTCCTAATGAGCCCCGTTGCACCGCAAGCATCACCTGAGGAGCCGCATCCCGCACGGATGCTCCTGCCCCAGGAGGCAGCGGGAAGGATATTCCCTTCCCCGGCAGTGACGTGGCCGGGAGACACATTAAGTTACCAGGACTTTTGCAGAGGAGATCGCCCGCATCATATTTGTATTCGTTTTCATGAACTCCCCATAAAAGTCACTACCTGAACACAATCTGCTAATTAAATTCCACTCAGGAAGGCATTTGCACCTCAGATTAGCAGTGTCCTCGCCCGCTTTTTTTTTGCCACTAACGCACTAATAACATCTTATTTATCTTCCAAATGAATTCCGCTAGGCTTACCATTAAATTGGGGATATTCACAAGCACAAACGAGCCCGACGTGAAAGGAGGGCGAGTAATTCCAATGGGATGGAAACCATGGATCTGTTCTACCTCTTTTGCACCACTGGTAAAAAATAAAACGTGCCCGAGGGTTGACAGCTCCAGGGAGCAATATGCTCCCTGCAAAAGAAGCAGGATCCGGGTCTATAGGATGCTCAGTGCCTTATCTTGACCCCTCTAAACCCAAAATTCGGGATGTGCTTTCCCAGGTGCTCCTGCATCCACCCAAATGCCGCCTGCAGCACCTGCCTTGGGAAACGGGCATTGAATTTAAAGGATTTGTCCGTGGAAAAGAGGGAGGAGGTGGGAGAGAGACTTTCTTGCTCATGAATCCTGCAGGTGCCAGCAGGAGGGATAATGGAGGGGAGGCCGAGCAGTGGGATTGAACTTGCGCCTCCCAATTTGTGGCTGGATCAGAGCTGTATTTCCTCAGTACGTGTCCTCCAGCGACCCCAATCCATCGGTCTTGCTGAGCGTTGCTCAGCGGACACGGTTTTTTGGAGCTAGTCCTTCCTTTTCCCAGGCATTCTGGCCCACGTTGGGTTTTTGACCTAGCACAGGCTGTACCGTAGGCAACTCCATAGGTGGGCAAAACCCCTGGCCTCGGAGCAGCCTTTTCTCCCGTTTTCCAGTCCTTCCCCATGGCAGTTGGATGAGGCAACATTGACATCCAGTGGCCGATGAGATTAATCGCAGCAGGCGCTGGATTTTCTCCGGGCATGGCAAAAGAGCCACGTTCTCCAGCACTCTGCGCCAAAACGGGGCAGAAAAGACCCAAAGCCACAGCCACGGCATCCTCTGGGCCACCATAAACCATGGGRAACAGCCACCTGGAGCTGCCCTGTTCCAAAAAAACCTTACAGCAAAAACCACCTTTCCGCCAAGAACACCATTCATAGAATCATAGGATCTTTATGRTTGGAAAAGACCTTCAAGGTCATCAAGTCCAACCACACACTCATCAGCCAAAACCRTATTTCTGCCATCGTGTACCAAGACATGGACCTTTCCAAGCACAGGTTGGCCAAGAAGGGACCAACCAAGGGTCCTCCAACACGAGTCTAGTTAATTTATGCAATTACAAGATAACTTATGTATTTTACTCCTCAAAACCCCTTCCAGGTGCAGACCACTGGGCACACAGGGGGATTTCTGCATTCCCCGAATTCCTGCATCCCCTGCTCGCAAGCGGTGAGGAGGAGGAGGGACGCGGCGGATGGGGGAACACCGCAACCGCGCGCTGCCAAAGCCTGTGCTCAGCCTGTGCTGCCAAGCACAGCCTTTCATGAACCATTTGCATGCCTACAGGGGCGCTTAGATGTTGCTCCCTCCCCAGACAGCCGTAAAAAATGATGCATCCCCTTCCTCAAACCAGCTTTTAAGGCTCTCCGCTCTCCGTGGGGGCTTCATCTGAGGGTTTTTTTTAGAAAAAAATGCTCAGGCGGAGAACATGCTCTGCAATTAAATATTGATTGGGAATTCTCCCCAAGTACGTTTCCCCTCCATCTCCCCGCCTCCGCCGGGAGATGTCAAGTTCTGTTTCCTAAGCTGTCCCCATCCAGCGATTACGTTCATTAGGACACCAGCCTTGTGGTTAAAAGTACTTTCCTTGCTGCTGTACATTTAATTAGACAACTCTTTCCCAGAAATTATTTATAGCCGAGTGCGGGAGCTATTGTTAGCCCGAATGTAAATAAGATTCGG